CAGATGCCGTGGTAGCACAGGGACTTAACGCTCGCTAGACATATCACTGTACGCGAGCAAACCGGGTTTGACCTTCGACGGCACCAACGAAATTATTAATTGCAATTTTAATTGCTGATTTAACACGTGCTCGGCGGTGAAGGAAAACATGGTGAGGAAAATTGTATGTTTTCTTTATTAGTCCTTATTAATTCACTTTCAGATATAGGCAATAAATGATGCACAAACTGTCATGCATAGCGTGAACATGTTGCCTATACTCACCACGCTGGGCTGTCACGTTGGATGTTGAAACCATGAGCTGATACTGTCGCAATAATGAAGCTGCTTATCATTAGTCTATGAGATTCGACTGCTGCGTTGGTCTAGTGGTCGCTATTGTGACTGCTGGTCCCGGGTTCGAATGCCGGGTCCGGTCAAGAAAATTAGTTATTGTGTTTTCCTGCCATGAAATTGTCATTAGCAGCCCGGAGTCAGGAAGTTGGCGGTGTATCATCCCCGTGCTTTGCACTGGAGGACATTATTCCTTTCAACAGTTGTCTGGAGATCGTTAGAGGCTCATGTGCTGTTAAGGTTAGTGTGCTTTACTGTCTTCGGTTACGTAACCACTTAGCATCAGGTGATAAGCGGTTAAAGGGCTAAAGGGTGTAGAAAGCCAGTATAATGAGAGCCTTCGTTCCCCGGAGGTCGTTATTAGGGACTGAGGTGAACTTTTTGTTACACAATATCATAGAATTGAGAATTTGCGTTATAAATATAATTGTATCGGTTTCTAGAGTATTAGATAAATATACATAACAATGCCTCAGTGGTTTGTTTCTCAATATTTTCATATTTTTTTTACGATTTTTAATTTTTCTACTTATAGAAATATCTGTAGTTAGTGATTCCTTATATTTACGAGAACACTACTTTTACGGAATTTATCGCGTTTAATTATAATTATTTTTAAATTTCCGACGTTTCGGGTGCTTTCCAGCACCCATGGTCAAGGGCATAGATTACTGTATAGTCGCGGGGACTGAGGTGATTGACGTTCCGATATCGGAGATAGCCCGGAGTATCTTCAGCTTTTTTAATTATTACTTTTTCTGACTTTGTTTATTTATTTCTCATATAATATAAAATTTGACTAATAATACAAAAATAAACATTAAACACATTTTCCCAGCAAATTCACTTCCCCACCATGTAATTTGTAAAAATTTAAACGCAACCAAAGTGGCGCCGAACTTTTGGCAAAAAAAGTCATTGCTTTAGGCTGAGAGGCATTCCATCTTAATCTTCAGTGCTCAGTCCATTGGCTACAGTACCCACTTCACTTACCATCAGGTGAACAATTGATTCGCTTGTTGATTTAATTTTATAAAATCTAGACCATCGACAAAAAGTCTCGCTAGATGTCTGGTAGGTACTATGATTGCCAATTCATTTGCAAAAGCAGGTCATTATGATTTAACAATCAACAGATTTAATTTATTAGGCTTATTACAACAACACCGCTTTTTAAAGAATAGAATAATTATCGATCGCATTTTGCCGGTAAGGGTGAAACAAATACATCTATATATATATAGCAGTCGTTGGGTTGAAAACTAAAATGTTGTTTGTTTCAGCTACTCAATAATAGATGGCGCTGTAAAGCAAATAGATATAAACTATTAAATGAAACTCAAATGTTGTTTAGACATTTCTTTATTTCTATTTCTTTTCAAAAGTAGATACAAATAAAATGAAACAATTTCTATTGTTTCTAAATGATACAACAATCAATGACATATCTTTAATCTGTACAAATTCAAAGTAGGTATTCACACAAAATAAAAAATGATTTTAATACATGAAAATAAATTAATATCTCTGGAAAATTATGATATTTCGTATTATAACTAAAACAATGGAGGTATGAAAATAATACTATAAACAATTTTCTTACAAAACGGTGGACGAGGTATAAGAAACAAAATCTTAGTGCAACATTAGACAATATAGCGTTATGATGTTAAGTAGAGTGGGCCTTAGCTACCCGGGCGCTCCGGGCGAGAAAAATAACTCCTCCTTTAGACCAGTGATTTACTACAATCTCACGTATTTAGTAATTGAATGCACCTTTTTAGTATTTTTTGATGTAACCCAAGATGGTAACTTGGGTTATCTATATACCATGACCTCGGGACTTCAAGCAACTCAGTGCTTTCGTAACCATGGGTTGGAATATTGGAAGCACTCAAAACCACTGGAATTTGAAAATATGTGTTATAGCCACTGCTTATGTTAAGAATTAAGATGCCTTCTCACTAAAGTCCATTATTATACTTACAAATCGCTATTACATAATCATTAATACTCAAATGCAGCGGAGTATATTACAACGTAGAAATTAAAACACTATGTAATAATTTAAATATAATAAACGAAATCATTTTTAGATTTGGCATCGGTCCGTTTTCGTTTTTAAATTTTCTGTGTAAAAAAAAATTTGTATAGAATTAAATAGCGATGGATACGTTACTGATTGCTTTAGTTTTATTAATTATGAACCGTAGGCTCTATTTAAATGTTTAAGTTGTTAATTTAAGGTAATTTTGACCTCAATTATTTTGATATTTATGTTTTTGATTCTAATTGCAGTTATTTATATATATCAGTAGACCAGTTTTTTGTCACCTTTGTTAACTTTGAGACTACAAAATATGGAGCGAATGAATAATTTAATTTTATTATAAAAAAAAATAGTTTTCTTTTTTGTGTATTTCTTGTTGTACGGACAGAAAGGAATCTAATCATGATTTCGTCATTTAAATGCGAGGACTAAGACGTTGGCACTTAATTATTTTATCTCATTAAGCTTATCTTAACAACATACAGATTGGAACGTAAAATTAAAATTAATACTTATCATTTAAGACGAATCGAAATGCTAATATTATGTACGACACATTTTATTTAGTTAATTTATATACTTTTTTAAATACACTTAAAGCGATGAGAGAATATTATAGTTAATTTCGTAGCAAAGTTATATAGAGTTTATTAATTAACATAAATATGGTATATTTAGAAGCACTTAGTCGTGTTTCAAATAAACTTACTGACTAGTTTTTTTTAAAAATATAAATACACATTTTAACATATTGTTCTATTTATGATGAGTCTGGTAACACTTGTGAGCTGAATAGTTGTTTTTTGTCTTTTAATCTCAATGTAATTGTTTTCATTATATATAGCAAAAATTTTTATTCAACGTAATTAATTATATTGTAATTAATATTTATTGAAAGTTATGTTTTCTTTTACCACTGGTTCGTTAAACCCCTGTATTGGTAACAAGCAACAAGCCTAGTGGAAGTATTGTTCTACTTTGTAGTTATAATAATATATTTTAGGATATAATTATTTTTTAATTATTTGAAATTACAGTATTTCAAGTATAGTACGTGAGGATAATATAATCATCCGGTTAATATGGCCACTTTCTTGTAACTCAAAAACTACAGTCGTATTTGCATAGAAGGCTCTGTGACACGACAACTCTTCATCAGTCAATCGACTAATAAAGGGTTAAAAGGGCGCTGCTTTATCGACTCCATTTTGACATTAAAGTAAATATTTACTTAGTTTTTTAAGTAGATTTTTCGAAGTGTTCCTAATTATTGCTAAAGCTTGTTTGCTATTATTTTCTGAATATATTAGTTATAGTATACGACTTATTTTTGTCTCTGTTCTCCTCTTAGTTTTGGTTTTATAGGGCGGCAAAGCTTAAGGTAACCATATTACCCTCACACACGTTAATTAAAGTTTTTCAAAACACACGGTTCATGCCATGCTCTCTCATCAAGTGTCACTCATCCTAATCTCAACTTAAATGTACTATTGTTTTGCATTCGAAGCTGAATTTATATTATTCATTTAACTTAAAGATGTACCTTAATCTACATTTAAGTGTCCTAGGTGTCAATGTTTAGTGCGCTGAATACTTTTACACTAATAAGTACTATTTTATAAAGATATATTTTTATTTCGTTAATATAATAGGAATAATTGTTAATATAATTATTAGTTTTGATTCATGTAACGATAGCCTGAGACTTAGTACACACGATTTTAACATTAGATATAATAATTGAAATTAAGCCTAATTTATATCGTAAATTGGTTATAAATATTATAGTATAGGATAAATGAAATAATATCATTAAACAGTTTAATAATTCTTGGAGTAGATAGAATAAAATGGAATAATATCCTTATAGACGATATTCGTAGATATGTTTGTTTGTTACTAGGTGTTAAAAATTAAGCACAAAATTAAACGTTCTGACTACTCTAGAATAGGAAGAGAAGAAGAACGAAGAAGTCTTACACACGTCTTAAAAACGTTTTGGTGATGGAAATAGTTGCGAAATTTTGAAGTTTTGAAGTAAAAGATTATTTATTTATAGCTTTTTTCCTAAAGCAACTGTATTCGCGACTGGTTATCGCTGCTCATGTTCGCTCAAACGCTAAGTATTTTTTTTTATAGGATAAGTGTGACAAACGAGCACACAGTCCACCTGATGGTAAGTGGTTGCTGCGGCCCATAGACATCTACATCTATCCTCTGTTACAAATCAAAATGTAGATGCGTTGTCACCCGTGAGGACTAAGATGGAATGCCTCATTTCCAGTAAAAAGGGCCTCCGGCCACCTGCACTCACCAAGCGAAACGCAGAGGTAAACCTCTACTTCACGCTGGTATTCTGTGAGTATATAAGTATTAGTTATTTTATTATAGTTTTTTAAAATTGTATTTCAATGTTACGTAAGTAAAAGAAAGAGACAACTATAATATAACCAAGTCATATTACTTAGAGTCAAGTTCTACAGACGTGTGAAAGTAACAGTCCGAGGAAATACTTACAAAAATATTAAGAGTGGTTGAATTGGAGTTAAAGTTCGAAGGAAAGATTTTTAAATCGTAAAAAAGCGAGTAGTTTCGAGAAGAGTCCAAGGAAATAGAATTAACCAGCGCCGCGAGCGGGACGGGGGAGAGCCATAGGAGGGGGTGGCGGCATCATGTCGAACTCTTCAACAATCGTTTTTGGGTGGAGCGCGCTTATGTTGTTGTCCACTGTGTACGTCCTGACATGGGTGTGGGTCAGTGCTGGTCGAGCGTCATTAACCAGCCAGTCCTCTCTGTCGCGCAGGCGTTTGCGGCGTAAAATTTGCTTGTCTCGTAGATGCTGGAGACGGGCCAGGTGACCCTTGATCTGCTGAGGACTGAGGCCTGTGCGTCCGGAACGGAGGAGCTCCGCGTTGTAACGGAATGACGCTTCCGGGTCGTGACGGTTCCATTTGTAACTGAAAAGAGATTTTATATGGAATATAGAATATTAGAAATGATACATGGTAGTAGGTTGTGGATGCATTATGGACAGATTTATAGGTAGTAAGTTTCTATTACTGCTTAGGAATCTGTCTAGGTTTGCACCGAACTCTTACATATTACTGTTGCCAAGGAACAGTGTGTAACCGTGTTCCGGTCTTAAAGGTACAGAGAGCCAATATAAGGCATTCCGTCTTAGTCCTCATAGATGACAACTCGTTTTGTAGCCTTCTTCGTTTGAAGTTGTTGACAGGTACATACATTTTTTATAGGATAGGGGTGACAAGCGAGCACACAGCCTATTTGATAGTAAGTGGTTGCTGTGGCCCATAGACATCTACATCTATCCTCGTTTGCGAATCAAAATGCAGATGCGTTGTCACTCGTGAGGACTAAGATGGAATGCCTCTTTTCCAGTGAAAAGGGTCTCCGGTTCTCTACACTCACCATACGAAACAGCAGCATTAAGCCGCTATTTTACGCTGGTATTCTGTGAGAGCGTGCTCCTTCCCCGGTCGAGCCGACCCATTTGTGCTACAGCTATACAATTAATATAGTTGCAGAATGACTCTACGAATGACTTAGAAGCCTGCAGCAGCAAGTTACCATCAAAAAGACTTTAAGTTTGTTTGTCATTTTAATTTTATTAAAATAGTATTTAAGGTTTGATGATAGCTAATCTAATCTATACAAATAATCTATATCTATACAAATAAATAAAATTGAAGTTTCTGTTTGTAATGTCAAAATTACAGCTTTTTTTCTTAATGCAGATGAAAGTATATACGATACTAATAACAAAAATACAATTTTTAAAGTTTTTGTCTGCCTGTCTGTCTGTTTGTTCAGGCTAATCTCCGCAACGGCTGGACCGATTTTGACGGGATTTTCACTGGCAGATAGCTGATGTCACAAGGAGTAACTTAAGCTACTCTTATTTTAGAAAAATAATCAGGGGTCCGCGCAAAAAAACTTATAACCCCAAATAACACGCGGGGGAAGTCGCCGGGAGCAGCTAGTATAAATTATAATAACATTGTGTAACAAATAACTTCACCTCAGTCCCAACTAGCGACATCTGTCGAGCGGCAGATTATTAGCCCTCACTAAGCAATATTAGCCTAATGGCAGGGTGCAGACTGTAAGCTCAGAAAGTCGTGGGTCCGAATCCATCATATCTATGTGGTGAACCAATCTTAACTCAAGCCGGTGATTGAAATTATGATATTAACTTACGAGAAAAACAAGTAATTTTAATTACTCACCCAGGGAATGGTCTCGTAAGCCGTCTATGCGCATTTGGTCTAGATCTCTTTCTTAACTCATTTGGTCTTAGGTTGTACATTTTCGGGTTATTTCGGATCGGGTTTGGTCTACGGTCGTGCCCCTTCGGTCCAACTCTTAGTGGGTTGGGCCGGAGGTCGAAGGATTTCGGGTTGAGTACAGGGTTGCTCGTGACGTCGTTGGACATGGGGTCGTTGACCTCCCTGCTGACGCTGGGTGCTGTTATCTCATTGATCTTGCCCATTCGTTGCCAGCGTCGCCGGAGATCTTTAAGCTTCGACTTCGGCACCTTGCGGAGTTTCGTTTGGCAAATGTATTGCCTTGCTTCGACGCAGCTTCGCGGTGCCCATCTGAAATCAATTTGGTTTTAATTATTTTAATTAGTCAAGTATCATGGTAAAACAAGAATACTTTATTTTACTATTAAATAATTTACAGAATTCACTAAAATATTTTGTGAATTGTATTTTTTTATAGGATAAGGGTGACAAGCGAGCATACCGTTCACCTGATAGTAAGTGGTTGCTGTGACTCATAGACATCTACATTTATCCTCGTTTGCGAATCAAAATGCAGATACGTTGTCAGCCGTGAGGACTAAGATGGAATGCCTCGTTATCCAGTAAAAAGGGTCTCCGGTTCTCTACATTCACCATACGAAATACAGCAGTTTTAAGCTGCTATCTTACGCTGATATTCTGTGAGAGCGTGGTCTTTCCCCGTTCTAGCCGAACCATTCGTGCTAAAACTATACAATTAATATAGCTGCAGCATGGCTCTGTATAAAGCACATCTTTATTCATTTAGTATTATTAAAAGTATTATTATTATTAACTAAGTAACGTATTTTTAGTTATATGTATGTATATTTTTCAATTCCTAGAGAGGTTGATACTCGTAGAACTAAAGGATACAAATTCAAATAGGATGTGAGTAAGTGTTCTGAACACTGTTTACTAAATTTCTTATTTAGTACAGGTGAGCCTGTAGGCCTAGAAATCTCTAGTGCGTAAAACTATGTGTTTTCTGTATTTTGTACCGACTTCAAAAAGGAGACAGGACTCAATTCGACTGTATGTTTTTTTATGTAGTTTACCTTATAAATTTTTACTGGGTGAACCAATTTCGATGATTCTTTTTTTATTTGAATGCTGGTGCTTCACATGTGGTCCCATATAAATTTGATCAAGGTCTGGCCAATAGTTTTTGAGTTATTTTCAACAATTTATATTGAAGTAGGTTGTACAAAATTTCAAATTATTTGTAATAGATTTGCAATTATATATGATTTGACACCGGCTTTCACCTGTCCTCAAACTATTTTATTTCTTAGACCCGCAGGTTTCCTCATAATGATTTCCTACACCACAGAGCACGTGGTAAATTAGCACTTAAAATTTCAATTAACAATTTCATTATTGTCGGCGGGTCGAGCGAAATTTATAGCAGGCACAGTCTCTGAACTGGCATTGCTCTCATAACTGACGTGTTTTACACAACATATGGTATATACTTGAGCATCTAGAGGTACTTATATATTTATCTATATAATAAAGCTGAGGAGTTTGTTTGATTGTCTGTTTGTAGAATCGCGCTAATATCTGGAACTACCTAACGGATTCGAAAAATTTCTTTTGTACATGATAGCCAGATTTATGAAGAACAGTATAAGATATTTAACATCACGTAGCAATCGTTAAGAGCGTAGCAAAAAGAAAAAACTCAGAAAGAACGCTAAGTGAAAACGTGGTAATAGCGCGGACGGGCGATGGGACGCACGGCGGGTGAAACCGCGAGGCACAACTAGTATATATATTACTTAAAACATTAAATACAGCAGCTGCCCATTTTATTAAATCAACATTAGACCTATTTATTTATCGTCTATTGGCTGACCACCTAAATAAATGTGAATCAAAAGTCACATCGGTTGACTCGAACATAAATTCTCATATAATGTTCAATCGCACAGCGTTGATTGATGTTGCGACGTCTCATGAATTGAACCCTTTGCCTTGAACCGTTTATATTATATCTATTATAAATATTTAAAGTACAATTTATGTATAGTTTTATTTAATTGCTAATTTTTAAAACCCTAAAATAGCCAGATAATACTGGTAGAAAACTGGGGAACAGTGTGACCCAGTTGTCCCAGGTAAACATACTCGTCAGCAACTTCGAGCTTAGTGCTCCTAACAACTACCGGCATAGGTGTGACATGGACGTTATATATATCTTTGTTTTGTCCATGTTCATCGTAAGATCTATATGTTGGGAGAGGACTATATCGTCGCCAAATCGAAGATGAATGATGTACTCGCCGTTGATGTTAATACCGTATCCTTTCCCCAGTAGCTCGAAAACGTCTTCCAATGCAGCGGTGAAAAGTTTCGGGGATATAACGTCACCCTGTCTTACACCTCTCTGCAGTTGGATAGGATTCGCACTCTGGTTCTGTACTCGGATAGCCATCGTAACCCTTCACTTCACACTTCAGCATTTAGATATACCGACACTTAACTTGGGTCTATAATTGCTACATTAAATATGTAAGTTTCACGAATATCGTTAAATTAGTATTTTTATTATTACTGGTACTCATACTATGTAACATTAGATATTTAATGTTTGTTGTCATATTTTGTTTTGCTGTGCATACTCTATTGGATTATAGACAAATTATAATTATATTTGTTACAGTAACTGTGTGCCGTATTTTCTTTAATCTGTTTGTGTATCTTATTAATAAAATAAAATATAGTTATAATAATAGTTCAAAGGCACAATCTCTTCAATTAAAAAATGTTCGCTCTGTTAATATTGCTGATAGTATGAGTACTATGGCTGTTCGGCCTATTTATTTAATAATACTTTATTGTACACCGTAATAAAACTGATTACAAAGGGCGGACTTAACGCCTTTTGGCATTCTCTCCCAATCAACCTGGGACGTGTGGAAAAGGAAAATATATATAAATATATTTCTGCTACTAGTGAAATCTCATCGTGAAATCAAATCGGGGGCTTCTTAAATCCCATTCCTTAATCCTTAAATAAATTTCCACATCACACCGCCATCTGCGTGAAGGATTAAGGGGTCGCCAGCACAATGGGACGCATAATCCAATTCCGCCGTGTCCGAGTTGCTCGTAAAACTTTTATACTGTTTCGTGGTATCGATCTTTGTTTAAGCATAATCGGTTTCGCAAACTGTCGTTCATTATAAATTTTTGGGAAGATCCAAGGCATATACTGAAGCCATATATTATTATAATATTTTTATTTTTAAATTGAATCTTACTACGTATATGTCAAACTCTTACTACGTATAATCAAATATATATGTAAAATATGCTATTAATAATAAATATAATATAAACAACCAATTTTAAAATATTTGTCTGTTGGTCTGTCCGGGCTTATCTTCGGAATGGCTTTACCGATTGTGATTTGGGGTGAAACTCTAAGAACAGATAGGGAGTAATGTCAGGACAAATCTAGGCCATATTTAATTTAAAAAAAAAAAATAAGTTTTATTTGAAATAAAATGAAAACATGAAAAAATAAAATAAGTAGTCTTTGATTATATTAACTAACATTAATAGATCCCATTCAGGCTAAACTGGGGCGGATCGCTAGTAGTACGTAAATTGCAAAGTACGCCAACCACCAACTTTTCTCCTTAATCGCCAATTAACCTAAGCCGCCTCTTTTTTATGTCGTTATTGGGTGATAATATAAAACGCAACGAAATTTCACGAAGTTAAAAGGATTTTTACAGCGTTTATCACTTCGAATTAATTCATATTAAATAACGCAGTTATTCTCTTGCAACGAATTTGTGAAATTAAGGTGAGTATAGTTAAATTTTTTTTTTTTCGGTACCAATTTAGTTGCAATAATTTTAATCCAATTCGTACCAAATCTATAAAAGAAATATGTGTATAATTCTAAACGAATAGCGTTGTAAATAAATTAAATTTACCGCTTGTAGCTTGGACCATAAGTGGTGATTTTGGTGAATGATTTATAGATCGGATGACCGAGGATTAGGGTCGCCGCAGATCGCCTCTCCGCTTTAACACGAATCCCCGCAATGGTTATCGTTTCCCCTACGTTAGTTTTGTCACGAACTTGACATTTGTTTTGTCACATATTTCAATGGCTATACGCTATAGCTATACACCTTGTTACAGTATTGATGGGTTATTGAGCTAATGAGTAAAGTTTTGCTATGGCCGTCGGTTTATTATATGCGTTGGATATTACATAACGTGATTTTGAGCAAGCTTTTTATTTTTATTTATTTATTTGGTAGAGCAACAAGTTAGTTACATGTATACTTACATTAATTTGTAATAATTCTATGTTTAGAAGTAACATGCAAACCAATTACAGGTGAACACATATTTACTCATTTTATGACATCATTTCAAAGCTCATTTTAGTTGACAGCCAGCAACTTGTCAAAGTGAGCTTATCGATGGCACGATAGTATTTTTTTTTAAATCTTTAAGTTTTAAGTTATGTTCTCGTTTTTATACTGTCCTCAATCACTAAACAAGCTTATGATTCTGTGATTGTATTATATTATATCATCGTTGTCAAACGAAAATCTGCTATGTGCACTATTTTGAGATTTTAACATTTTGTCTAGGAAGAGTAGTTCAATGATCAATCTTTCGTATAAAATAACTGCTGTGTGCTTTTGAGGACTGTACATTATTGTTTAAATGGCATTGCATATATATATAATATTATAGATATTATCTATATTATCATGTCGTTTACCATTTTGATTATAATACTATTACTATTTGTTATAATAATACTATTATTATTGATAAATATAATATTACAACGTGAATTGTATGTGGGAATTGAGAATCACAAATATTGGGCAAGTCTTTGTTCAGTGGTTACTTTTATGATTGTGCCTCTTTAAAGTTTCAGAATTTTATTAATGATATTTTGGGTAAATTTAAAAACATCCTGGCAAAAATTTGTACAATAACAAAATTCATTCATTCGTTCGTTTAAACCTCCGCTTTGGACTAAAAGGGCTTTTATATGCATTGCGAAGTTGCTATGATCGCTACGTATGGACTTGGTCAGTCGATCGTAGTGAAATCCGACCACATCTGACAGCACTCTATGTCACTAGTCTATTTCAAATCAGGAATGTTTTAAAGTTGTTTTTTTAAATATTTGACCGGTTAAAGGAGATATTTTGAAGATCATGTGGCCTTACATGATGGATAGACTAGACGACGGAACAACCATTTCTAATTTACGCAAAATGTAATATATATATATATATATATATATTGTTTAGGCCCAAATATGGGCATTTGAAACGTCAACCAATCGCGTTTGACTCAGTGCATCACCCGATGGTGTCGAGGTGAGGTAAACGCTGCCGGGGAGGGGGGGAGTGTGTGCCGGCTTCCCGTTATTCCGGCCGGTGGGCTGATCGGTAGCTTGACAGCAGCGGTTCTGTCGATTAGCGTTTTGGTGTGAGAGTGATTAAAGTAATTTACGTCAATTTGTATAGTGATTGCATGTTGAAGTGCATTTTGCAATATTTAACTTGCTTGTGTGACGTGGAACCTTGCGCGCACGCCGAGTGGACAGACGATCTGGAATTTGAAGCTCGCATTCCATTTCGAGGGCGTGGCCCGGTTTATTGTTTTTGGAAGTTAATGTTGAATTGTACCGTCGCGTTAAGTGCTAAGACTATGTAGTTAGTTTTGCGTGTCAGCGAGGCTGATTTTGAGTTCTTATTGCGGGCGTAGTATTTTAATATCGTACGAAAGAATTTAGCTTGTCGTGGGGAACGCTGAACTTTGAGACTCGAGAAGAGGCTGCGTTCGTTTCCGTGATTGTAAATTTGTGCTACGTGAACCCGGTACCTTGAATATTGAACTTTGAACGACGGTTTGTTACTTGTGTCGTGTGTCACTTATTTTAATTTCGAAGAACGTTGAGTTGGTTGACTTTGAAGTTAATTAAATATACAATAAAGTGGATAAACCGAAATAGTGAAATGAAGGCAGAAATTTTCCATGGGTGATCCACGACTGGAGGGAGCGCACATTGGGAGGACATCAGCTCCGGTGGATTTTCTGTCCGATTAAATCGGGCCGTCAGGTCACATATATAAACACTACTACACACTACTTACATGCACATACTTAACGCCTGACCGCGCCTTGGGGTCGGTTCTCGATTCGGAACCAGGTAAGTTCTTATTAATTACCTAGCCTTACATCTATTGTGTAGGTTAATTGTCCATAGGCATTTTGAGCCCCACCCTTAGTTGTCCGTCGAATCTACAGCTGTATGGGCCCCTGTATGATCGAGCTTTGTCGGGGCAACTAGGGGCGTGTACATTATATATATATATTTATATATAAGATAATCTCGATCAACGGGATATTGCAGTATCAATGTAGCTATAGGGGCGGGCCCCGGGTGGCAAATACTTTTTAGTTTTTTAGTTTCTAGTTTTTGTTCCATTAGTTAAACACTATAAGATTTTAATGATATTTTTCTCAGTAAGTTGAATCGACCCCGCGGAACAAAACGAATACGTGCAAGATTGTTCAGTGTCGTCACTACACTGTACACTGTATATACCGATAAGAGTTGAACATTTGTATGAGAAAACAGTCTTTCTTCGTTGTTAAAACTACAAGTGGAAGTTTTAAATAAGTCGTAACATGCCGGAACAAACCAATTCCACGTCTTATTTATTCCGTGAGTTAGTTAAACTTCCTCTTAACTTCGCCTTTAAGAGACTATTGTTTCCGTGTTGTATTCTTGCACGTTTTCTTAACTTTCTCGGGTACGGTTGATGGCCGAAAGCAGATCTTTGTTGAAAGTTTTATAACAAGATGTCGGATTTTTCTTGAACTATATGAATTAATTATTTGCTTTTTACTAAATAAAATGTATTTAGAACTTTAAAATAATAATATTGGATTGTTTTAGAAGGATATATGCTACGATATATTGAAATACATACAAACAACGCTCCATTGAAAAACTATAGACCGCTTTCCTTTCTGAGCTGCGTCAACGTGCTGTTTTCGAGAGTCATTACGAATCGTCTCGCACGCAACCTCGGCGATACCCAGTCTCCCGAATAAGCTGGTTACCTAATAGGCTTTAGTACCATACACCACATACATCAATCAATCAATAAGTCTTTTATCCTTAACATTTTTCAATGGTTGTCTAAATTATTGTGATGTTTATACAATGTCTCTCAGTTGAGTGTGCCTCATGGTAAAGACCTCGTCTAACATCTTCCATTGCTTTCTATGTCTAGCAACCCTTCTCCTAGTTTACACCACATACAAACCCTTCGGCAAATTTTGCAGAAGACCGATGAGAACAATCTGCTACTTCGTCTTGCGTATGTGAACTATGAGAAAGCCTTAGATTCCGTCGAAATTTGGGCGGTGCTGCAGTCCCTTCAGCAGTGTCAAGTTGACTGTCAGTATATCAAAGTGCTGAAATGTTTGCACAGTAGGGCTGCGATGGATATCTGAGTTCAGGACCAGAATACGAAACCTTTCCAATTGCAGAGAGATGTAAGATAGGGAGACGTTATATCCCTGAAACTCTTCACCGCTGCTTTGAAAGACGTTTTCAAGCTACTGGACTGGAAATGATATGGTATTAACGTCAATGGCGAGTACAGCACTCAACTTCGGTTTACCGACGATATAGTCCTTATAGCGGAATCGCTGGAGGACCTCAGCACTAGACTCAATGACCTCAAAAGTGTCTTAACGGGTAGGTCTTAAAATGAACAAGGACAAGAAAAGCTCATGTGGAACGAAGCGAAGCTCTATATCTATATTATTGGAATGAAGTTCTTTATCGGACGGTACGAATTTGGCGCATGGGGTGAGCCCCCAGAAAGAGAGAAAAAGTGTAAGATGTTTTCCGTCACGACGTAGTGTAGATGGCGTTGGCGGCTATAAGGAAGCGAGATGGAATAATATCCATCTCCTTCGCACTTTTTCTCATGAAAGAAATATCATTTTATTTTAAATGACGCTTTATTTTAATAGACGCTAGTGTGTAATTAATTTATATATTCATTTGTATTTGTTAATCAATAATATAATACGTTTATCGATAATCATATATTAGATGCGTCAATATCTCAATGACAGGGACCGGATCACGAACGCGAAAGGTCATTGGTTCGAATCCGTTATTCGACTACTGTCGTGAACCACTTCTAACATAAGCATTTTAAGCTTACCAGAAGTGGTTAAAGGGAATATTTGTAATGTTTAATAGCACTACTAGTATTTAAAAAAAAATACCACGAAAGGAATTTCGTTCCAACCGAGTGTTCCACGACACTCACGCATATTTTTTGTTATAATATTTTTTACCGACTCCGTAAAAGGAAAAATAATATATTTTGTTTCTTTTTAATTATGTAACACATAATCGTCGAGGTTAGTTAATCGATTTAAATATTTTGTACGTTCTGTCTGTATTTACAGTCTACAGCTGTTTCTTTTGTTGCAGCATAAATTTCAACCACACCTGATGACAATTGAAGTTGGTTTATATTTTTGTTGAAGTGATCGATTATTTGCTGCGTGTAAATAGGTTGCCGGGAATACAGAACAAAATGATTTCATATTTTGAAGTCGGTGCTAAGACATATTGTATAGACGAATTAAGGCCCCGGTTTCAGAATGTAAAATTATTTTATTTCTTTCCTACCGACTTCAAAAAGGAGACGGTACTCAATTCGACTGTATGTTTTTTTTATGTGTGTTACCTCATAACTTTTTACTGGGTGGACCGATTTCAATGATTCTTTTTTTATTTGAAAGCCGGTAGCCCCACATTTTGATCAATTTTCTCAATACCATTTTTTAACAATTTGATCAACGTCTGACCAATAGTTTTTGAGTTATTCTTAATAATTTATATTGAAGTCGGTTGTACAAAATTTTTAATTTTAATTTATAGTTGCTTGAAAGCGGCTTTTACTTTTTTGATTTTTTTACCTTTTGAGTGGACTTAGGAATATCACAATCTCAATGTTACCCGTAGTGATAGAACTTAACTCTTTAAATATGGGTCCACACCTGAAGTATAAACTATTTAATAAAAAAGAATCACGATAATCGGTTCACAATTGAGGAAGGTAACGCGTAACAGATTTAGAAAAAAAAACATATTGTGAATTTTCAATTTTTCAAGTCAGCTAAATAGAAATGCCGTTGTGAACGTACCTGTAAAGTAGTTCCGGCATCATGGCGATACAGTTCCACTTGAGCTCCTCCGGGGCCAGCTTCTTCATCTTGGAGAACGACTGATAGTGCATCTGACGCAACTCCCCGCCCCACTTCCACGCTCGAGCACTGTAATCGTAGATGCCGCCAATCCAACGGCTCGCTTTCTCTGTGAAACGTTAATAAAATTTCATTTCGAAAAAACAGTTGCTTTATTTAAATAAATAAAAAAAAACAAAGTTAGAACCTTTATAGAAAGAGGCCTTCTGAGTGGTTTATTGAGCAATTTTATACATGGTAGAGCCAAGTTTCTGTTGTATTATAGTTGTAGCACGAATGGGTCGGCTCGACCGGGGAAGGACAACGCTCTCTAGAATACCAGCGTAAAATAGTAGCTCAATGCTGCTGTGTTTCGTATGGTGAGTATAGAAAAACGAAGACCCTTTTTACTGGATACGCGGCGTTCTATTTTAGTCCACATGAGTGACAACGCATCTCAATTTTGATTCTTAATAGGTAGTAGATGTCTATGAGCTACAACATCCATTTACCATTAGGTGTCACTTGTCGCTTGCGCTTGTCACCCTTATTCTATTAAAAGAAATAGAAATAGATGCTCTAGTGCGTAGTGAAGGAGTTTTATATTCCTTCCATCTTCAAGAAATGAACTTACTCCTTTTTAAGGGGCCAATCTGTAATTCATGGGCGGCTTTGACACTTACCACCAGGTGAGCCGCATGCTCGTTTGCCTCCTCTTCTACAAAAAATATAATATATTATCGTAAGTTTATTAGAATATTTTTACACACTGATTTACCACGTGCTTGATGGTGAACGAAAACTTTGCAAGGAAACCAAGAAATAAATGTATACGAGTCGTCCATTTATCGATCCATTACAGCCTATAGAAGTCCACTGCTAACATAGGCCTCCCCCATAGATGTCCACATAAGGGGGATTCCGTCAGTGTCTACAATTGGCAGGCGGGTTAGTTGGCACACGTAGTTTTTATTATTTTTAGTTTGTTGTCATGAAGGTGCTGCTGCCCATCTTCTGTTTCATTTCACTTTGTTGTCTCTTACGATACCTATGGAACGATACGGGGTAGTGGATATACGATTGCGATACAAGTATACGAGTATGTACTTAAAAATCTGATACTCCTAGTGCAGTACAGTGAATATTTTTCGCTCCTATACCTTCTTAATAATGAAAGTAGGCGGCCACTGCCCGGCGGTTGGATGTTAACAGGCTAATAATAATAAGTTACTTTACTAACCAACGTCGTGTTTGTTGAGGTAGTTGCGGAGATTCCTGTCCTCCCATCGGGCTGGCACCGACAAATTGCTGTCTCGATCCTGTTAACAAGGAGAGGTAATTGAATTAGACTTTTGCTAAACGTAGATTTTTAGTATAACTATATTATAAATAGGTACAAAGTAAATAATTGAACAAGTTATGCAAGTGTGTTATATGTATGTAAGTGAGTGCTTTTACATTTAACTAGTTTTTAGGCATTTTATCGCGTATATTAACTTATTTTTTATTCCTATTTTATTGGGACGTCGAACACCGCAGTCAAAATCTATAAAAATACTTTCATTTAAACCTGTAATGTTCGATAATTGATAGAATCAGGCGTTACTTTGCGGAAATCCATTATAATGGGGTTGTTATAAACTAATTTGCTTACTCCCAGCACTACCACCCTCAGCACCAGCACACTAGGCACGACACACCACTCTCGAAAATACGACACGTGTTTCGCCTCTACACGAGGCATGCTCAGGTGAAGTAGACTCTGCGGAGGCTGGCCGCTCAGCTTAGCTGCCTCGTGTAGAGGCGAAACACGTGTCGTATTTTCGAGAGTGGTGTGTCGTGCCTAGTGTGCTGGTGCTGAGGGTGGTAGTGCTGGGAGTAACGGCGACGGGTATAGTGCGCGCGATTGAGGGAGGGTGGGAGGTCCCCTTAAAACTGGGCAGGACACATCATTTTCTTTCATTACGCGGAATTAAGCAAATTAGTTTATAACAACCCCGTTTAATGTTCGCTTAACATAAAAAATCAAATTGTAGTGCTATATATATATTGATAGATATTGAGACCGGTATATTTCGCAGTTTCATTATATTTAAGACGTATTATATATTTAAGATATATTATATATACTTCATTTCATATGTTTTTTTCCTATTATTACATTTTTATATTTTGTGTTGTATGTTTTAACTGCATTAAACGTGTTTTCCTTTATTCTAAAATAACAACTTGGTACTAATGTAGCTAAATGTTTACATTTCAGTACCGTAAAAGTACTTGTACATCGTAGGAATATAAAATTATGTCTCTGATTTTGGTGACTGTCCAATATCCGTGATAGATTTGTGTGTAAAACGCCTCCGCTGTAACATTTGAAATACATTATTTTAGCAGAATGTTAAGAGAATCGAAACCCAAATGCCTATGTTCAGTAATTTACGGTTTAAATTTTACTTTGAGGGCTAATAAAGAAAGAAGAAGACAAATTCTTTCATACTTCTTTTTTACCGAATAAGGGTGACAAACGAGCACACAGTCCACTTGATAGTGAGTGGGTGCCGACATATTCGTGCTGCAACCATAAAATAGTTGCAACATGGGTCTACCACGTAACTATATTACTTACTACATTTATCTAGCAACCGTGGGATCTTTGCTTCAGAGAGCACAAGGGATTCGTGACAGTAAACGCCTTGTTCAGTCTTTACCATCCGTTAAGTGTATAAGAAGCAGGAGTATATAAGCTTGCTTATGAATGTGGTCTCTCTTATATAATACAAACAAAAATATCGATAAAAATCCGCATAAAAGAACATATAACTAACGTGAGGTAGTTTGCAGTCTGAACATGTTTAGGATCTTCCCATTTATTACATCAAATTTGATAGATCACAAATCTGAGCAAAAGAACAGCGACTACTTGCATAGTTGATTCGCAAGGGTTATCTAAATTAAAAAAAAACATCCTAATATCAACAGAGGTGATAGATGGGTGCTATCATCTGCTTGAGATCGCATAATAATTTATAAAGCTGAATCCAAACTCCAGCATATCACTTTAAGACTTAAAGATATTTTGAGCTCGTTCTGCGTAGATTATCTTCGGTAACTCTGACATCAGTACGTCTAACACCTAAGTCTCCCCAGAGACCATGTATAATCTATGTATATCTATATACTGCACATTTAATCCTATTCGTTGAAACAAAATACATCTTTCATTCTGCGATCGAAACCAGTAAGAAATTCATCACTTCAATTCCATCCCAAAATAACATATGACTCGTTAGATTATGTTCTAAGCAATAAATAACTCGGTTATGTGTTGTAATATAATTTTTACCGGAACAGTGAATGATGTGCGCGCCTTGGCATGTCAGAATGTTTGATCTTGGTGACCGATAGAGTGACACATCGGCCGACATTCTTAACTTCTTTGTGGTGTACTGATGGCGTAAAGTGAATTCTTAATAATTAAGATATAATTGGATAATTTATTACAACTTGAACGAATTTTGTGGATTTTATCGTGTTTAATTTAAATTAAACAATTATTCATAATAATAATGATAATATAAGAAACCGAAACTTGAAAGTGAGCCAAATTAGGAGTACCCTTAACCGACGAGCGTGTATGCGTAGATATATATGGATGTAAAGGAGGCGAAAGAGGTGTGTCATGATCGCGCCAAATGGAAGTCCGTAGTCTCTGCCTACCTCTTTGGGTGATAGGCGTGAGTGTTTGTGTGTGTGTTTTTTTTATAAGAAACCATTATGAGTCATTTATGTAGAAGAAAGATAGCGTACATACAAGCACATAGTCCACCTGATGGTAAGTGATCGTGGCTGAAAAACACCCACATCTACTCGTTGTCAGCCCTGCTGATTGAGGACTTGGATGACTAAAATGGAAAGCCTATTTATCAGGAAAAGGAGGCCCTTCTCTCTTCTTGGTTGTCTTAGTCTCCAAAGGAAATAGTATTATGACGATGTTTTATGCTATATTTTTATATATATATATATATATATATATATATATATATATATATATTACTAGTAATCCGTCCCGGCTTCGCACGGACAATATCTGGATCTCGATCGATCTCGAACAGCGCCACCTACCGGGTCCAATGGTCAAGACAAGCGTTATGTTATCTCATGTCTGTCTTCAATAGCAAATGCATTCTAGGTTAACGACGGAATAACGTGTACTGTTTAATGCAACCGTTGAACAAGCTACAGTAGATTCTGTATACTTAAAAATAAAGCTCATAGTTTCGTAAATCCATTATGTGATCTCAGAAAAGTATAATCTTATTGCTAGGGTCGAGGGTTAAATGTGGGAGAACACGACAGCGGCTCCTAGAAATGGCAAATATTAACACAAGTGTAAAGTGGAACAATTGGCAATGAACGGCCGTTCCCATGACGTCAACGATGATCGAATCACCATTAATAGGTTTAAAGAATCTTGTTAAGAACCTACCGCAGTTGCTATGGTGGGTGGGCGGGGAATAGCCAAACTTCTATGGTGGGCTGAGAATAGATTGCGTTCGATTAACGTTTAGTGTTGTGCGCTCGGACCAACATACAAAGATAGACAGGACATTACATAGATACATTTAGTGTGACGTCAAAACTATGTTTAACTTTTTCACAAGTTCTCGCGTACACATCTTTCTTCTTGCTTTTTCTTTCAGCTAAAAAATTTACAGTTGGATACACACATTTGCGCTCTATTTCTTTGGTCAATATTTGATATCGGGAGTTGATTGAGAAAGTGGATGAGTTTGTATATTTGGGATGTGTATTTAGCAGGCATATGATAAGGATATTGAACTACGAGTGGTCGCAGGAAATAGAGTGAATGGGGTTCTACACGTTATTATGAAATGTCGGAATGTGTCAAAAAAGGCTCGTATAGCAATTCATAATGCTGTGTTAATCCCTACTTTAATGTAAGATAGTGAAAGCTGGGTCTGGCAGAAGAAGCACGAGAGCAGAATAAGAATAGCTAGCTGCTAAAGAAATGCAGTCATTAAGGAGTATGCTAGGGCTGAATCTGAAAGACAGGGTGAGAAATTATGTGATAAGATAAAAGAGTAGTTTGCAAGATGACGTTGTGACCAGTATTGAGAAAGGAATGCTTCGGTGGTTTGGTCACGTAGAAAAAATGAATGAGGAAAGAGTGACAAAGCAAATTTGTGTTACAGAAGTGAACGGCAGAGTCGGGAAGGGACGAAGCCCTAGACGAAGATTTATCGACCATATTGCCGATATATTGAAAATGGACCAGATTAGGAGTACCCTTAACCGACGAGCAATTATGCGTATATATATGGATGTAAAGGAGGCGGGAGAGGTGTATCAGGATCGTGCCAAATGGAAGTCCGTAGTCCCTGCCTACCCCTCTGGGTGACAGGCGTGAGTTTTTAAAATATTTATTTTTCTTTTTATCAAAGTTTTATTTTTTATTTTTAGTGGAATATCGATCTGAAGGTAACAAGCATGAGATATAGTTAAATACTTACATTAAATAAATACAACGCTCCCTATGTTTCCACTAGAATTATTACGCTCAAAATATATATGTGAAAAAAAAACCATTAAAATCGGTTCACATTATTGACAAAGATGTCATGTAACATACATACAAAAAATATTTTTTAAAGTTAAAGTTACCGTCTATATACGTCCCACTGCTGGGGACAGGTCTCCTCTCACTTCTGAGAGGGTTTTAGGGCAAGGAAATATCCGCCGCGCTGCACCTATGCGAGTTGGCGAACTTCATATGTCTTCGAAATAATTTCTTTTCTTATTTCTCAGACATGCAGCTTTCCTCACGATTTTTTCCTTCGCTGCCGATCATGTGGTAAATCAGCACTTAAAATTGCAATTAACCGTTTCATCCTCTCTTTAAAGTGGGATAAAAATATATGCTTTTAAGTTTTCATTAATGACTACATGGCGTCACTAAGTTTTGAGAAGAAAAATGCACCAAAGGATTTTCACGAAAACCGCTCTAGTGCGTTGTATAAATTAATTCAATACTTTTTTCATAAGTTTCAAGTTACTTTTTTGATACGGACCCAAAACATAACGCGAGATAAAAATCAATTTTTTTCAAAAACTTCTATTTTTTATAAATTTTTTCAAATAAAGACCCTATATATCCAGGTATACGTAAGTAAAATTACAGCTTAATTCATTTTGAAACAACTAAAATATGAAGTTTTGAGAAGATACACACTCGATTTTCCCATAGTGCAGCGACCAGTCTTAACGGAGACAAGCCGTCTACGCAAGACAGGATTATAGT